CAAAGGAGTCCAGCAACAAAAGACTCAAATTAATGCAGTGTTCCAGGTTAAGTATGGGGTCAGGGGCCAATGGTCTGCGGGCACAGGAGTGGTACAAGAGCAGGGCTAAGGGCAATGACCTATAGAGAACTGAGGTAGGTTAACATAGTGCTGCAGAGCACCATGGGGGGAAGCCTTTTTATCTCACTGTGAGGCATTCTCGAAGCCTGTGGCAAACTCTTCCAGGGCATTACCCTAGAATTTCCCCTGATAGGCTCAAAGGCCTCCACATGATGCAAGTAAAAATTCTTCCCAAGGCTGTGTGCCCATGGGCAACTCTACCCTCGCACAGTGGATCCTCAATGTTATTGTTTTGTCATAAGCTCAAAGAAGGAAGTAAGGCAATGACTCTTTAAAGTATCAGGTCTTCTGCTTTTTGTTCTTACAGCTGACATAGAATGAAGATCCAAGTAAACAACACTTGAAGAATGGAGAGTGTAGTGGTTTTGGTTTGTTAATTTGAGATTTCCTGGCCATTGTATTAATTAACGTTATGGGTCATGTTTGGTTAAATTATTAATGTGTTTATTAGAATTAATTATTTATTTTTTGTTGTGAGATAGGATAAGAAGGAAGGTAAAATAGGTTTAAACTTTAAAGGGTATAAAGAAAAAGCTTTATTTTTAGAAACTATTAAAAAAATAAGAACTAGAATAAAATTTTTAGAACACTTCTCTTGTCTTTCACAACTATTTTTCTTTTACATTGAAAACATATAGAAAGAGTTAGTTTACTATTTTTAAAAACAGTCTTTTACTAATTTATTTGGGAGACGAGACTTCTCTTCAGTTTATAAAGATTTTTTACAAGAAACAGGGTTTTTGTGGCTTTGATGTCACAGTGAATCAGCCACCTGGGAGAATGGAAATTTGATTATTGTGTAAAAATCTTTTTTTTTTCTTAACAGTTTTCCTGTAATTGTTATTGAGGACCATGTCAACATATGGGGCACACTTTAAGGATTATAATAGTTTAAACAAAACTCTTTTGGTTTTTGAAAATAGAGGTTTGTTTCTTTTTCTCTTCGCTACAGGGTAGCAGGAGTATTTTTTTCCCCTTTATTTAAATGTCTTATGGGATTATAACTATTTTAACATTTGCTTACTTTAGCATAAATGTCTTTGCTTATATTTATAGTTAGAACATTATATCTACTCTATAATTTTTTTTATAAGTTATAGGGAAATGAGAGGTTTTTTATAGTTTAAAAAAAGAAATTTCAGTTTAAGAGTGAGGCATCTTCATTAATTTCTTTATTTGGGACTTTGACTTCTTTTTTTGTCTGACTTCGGTGTTTTTATGTTGGTTTTGTGTGTGTGTTTGTGTGTATATATATATATATATATTTATTTATTTATTTATTTATTTATTTATTTATTTTAATTTTTTTTTTTTTTTTACTTAGGGGAGAGACTAATGCCTGTAAGTCTCATTCTGGGTAGTGAAAGAGTTAATATTTTGCCTGGGCTTGCAGATGGTTACGGGATCTCTTCGGGGTCCTGCGGTTGGGAGTTATTTTACAATAGGGATTTTTTCCGACAGCCGCGGTGGGATGGACTAGGATTTGAGAAGAGGCCCAGCCAGAAACGGTAGTGTGCTGCTACGCTGCATTCCATTAGAGGCCGGGGAAGCCCGGCTCAGTGCCCCGCCTCCCCTCCGGGCCGCAGGGCCTGCGGCGGGGCACCCTCTTGGGGGTGTTGGCAGCAGTAGCGTTTCTGCCACGCTGTGGGAGAGGGGGAAGCAGCCAGGATCTCAGCGGCCCAAGGGCCTCCTCTCCCCGGCCCGCCCCGGGCTCGGGATGTCCAGGCCCGCGGGCTGCACGGGACCTGGCCCCAGCCAGACTAGTTACCTTCTGAGAGGCTGGAAGTGAAAGAGAGATTTGGGGTTTTTTTCTTTTCTTTACATGTGTGTTTCGCAAAGGCGCATAAACTTCTCATTGGTGTAACAATGTGTCAGTATTAAAAATCAGACACCAATTGGTTCTTGTCAGGTCCGAAGGACGCTGCCCGGGTCCTGAAAGGGAACTATTTTACGAGATTTATACAAACTGCCGCAGAGAGAAACTCTAATCTGTAAATATACACGGAATGGGGAGGAAAAAAAAAAAAAAAAAGCCTTGGTCTGCAAAGTTTTTAAAAGAATGTTTGCAAGTTTAGGGGCGAGGGGGAAGCATTCTATTTGCTTTATTTTGAACCCATTTTCTGCACAAATGTTTTCTCATTGTGTTTGGTAATTTCCTAGTAAGGAACAGCATTGTTTCATGCTTTTTCATGTTGCTACCCTGTATTTTTACACTGTCTTCTAAAACTGGAAGGTAGTGCATTTTGTTTTCATCCATCTTTTTGTGTGTGATATCACGCAGTCTCTGTAAGGACAAGAAGGGTTTGTTCTCTCTGTTAAGATACAGCTAAGGAGATAAATCATCCTTTTTAGGAACATTTCGTGGTTTCCATTTTTTTGTGTAAAAATAGTGACAATCTCAAATGAAAGAGGACTAACTCAACATACTTTTCCGTCCCATTTGTTCTTCAATGGACTGAATTGAAACCACAAAATATCAGTATAATGTTGACACAGAATGCAAGACATGAACTGTTGAGCTACCTAATGAGTTAGGTAGGTAGGGGAATCATGAAAAGTTGTTTGAAAAAAGCCAATGTCTAAATGTCAAAATGTGCTTGATACTTAATATTATTTATTTTTAGTGTTTTCCAGTTAGCAGGTTTTTATACTTCAGACTTCAGGGGGTGTGTGTGGTTATTTTGCTATGAAAGAAATTCTGCACTTATTCTACTGGCATAGCCTACATTACCATAACTCAGCATGGAATTAGAAGAAAATGACATGCAATTACAATGCCCTCAACAGAAAACACTTTGAGACTAAATGAGGATTCTGTGAAACAGATACAGATTTTAATCAGACTTTTGTTAAAAATTATTTGCATTTTGCACTTCCTCCAACCTAGTCTAGTTCAGTGCAGGAATGGCAGTTCTGACAAACACTCATTTTTCAATTTAATAAGCCTGTCGAAAATAGAAGTCTTTCATAGTTGAACTTTTTTCTCCTCCAAATTCAAATGAAACTTCTCCGTTTGGTGCATGCAGACAGAAAATGCTTCTTCTGCAGAGCCCAACTGTCAGAACACATGAGAAAATCTGTGTGAAGCCTCCCAGTCTCTCAGCAGACGTGTATGGGGGGATAAATTTTGCAAACACTTGTTATAGAGTAGAGCTCACTGTTTGACAGAGATTGTAAGAGTGTCATAATTTCTGACAAATGAGGTGGATTTTTTTAAACACAAATACAATGTTGATGTAACATAATGGTGACTCATGGGCTTGGTTGGGAAAATAGCATGCAATGAAGGCAACAAGCCAGGCTGATCTGGATTGCTAAATCAGGCACAAACTAGAATGAACATTTTACCCCTGCCAAATGCAAAATTGTTCATCTAAGAACCAAGTACAAGTATAATGGCAGTTCACGGAGGAGCTGCAGGTATGGCTGGGATCAAGAGTGAATAAGCCTCTTCTGTCTCATGTCAGATATCTACAGGGGACGTCAAAATTTGACAAAAGAATTTTAAATCTGAAGACAGAGGCAGAAGCACATAAAATGTCTGGAAGCTGAGGTAAATTCCGTCCAGAAGTATGGTAAATATTCTTTCTTACTTTCTTTGGGTTTTTTTTAATAGTAAGATAGATAACAGTAAGATAAAAGAGAAACAAGTTCCTGAAGGTTAGAATTAATATTTCTTACCTGGAAAATTTGGAACAGAGATCAAAGAGGCTTTCAAGATCGTCTAGTTCCAACACCTCTGCTATGGGAAGGGACACATTCCACTAGACCAGGTTGCTCAAATCCCCATCCAACCTGGCCTTGAACACAGACAGGGACTGAGCCTTATGACTTTTTCAGTCCTGAGGAGAGCAATCCAAGGAAGTCTCACAGACTATGCTGCACAGACAGTCACATGAAATGATTGTGATGGCATTATCTACACTGACAACTCACAAATTTTGAATGTACAAGAGTATTTTTGCTGATCATATTTCTGAAGGGAACTAGCCTCTGGCCTGTTGGCAACCTACCTTTGTCAGACTAAAATAGCTTTTTTTACAATTGTCCCCCAGCCCTTGGCACCAGAAGCTGCTGTAACATCCAACTGGGCTGGTGTCCTCTATTGCCTTGTGGCTGCTCAAGACTCATGTCCAGCAGAAGTTCAGCCAAGTTATGAGAGGCTTATCAAACAGGAAGAACAAACCTGGTTCCAAGACTTGAGCAATATCACTGAACTGGCAGTTCTAGAGGGGGTGGGAAGGCACAGAAACAAGAACAGCTGTATGTTGTGAGGTCCTCATTAATTCTTTATCCACGTGCCTCCTGCTAAATTATGACAAAAGGACTTGTAAGTTGCGTTTCAGGTCAGTAGGTTATAGCTTTGTGAATGTCAGTACAATAGGAAACCTCATTTCACCAGAAAACAGTATTTTCTCTGTGAAATGCCCTGTGTTATGTTACATTCTGTATTCATCACACAATGATATTTCAGTGGGGCGCCTGTACTATTGGGGAGCAGATAATCTCCTATCACAGCTGCTAGTAGGTTTTTTTTTAAAGATTAATGAAAATTACGTATCCTGCAGAATCTTACTATGCAGGGATTTAATGATGACTCCAGAATTCTGCAGAAACCTGCATTTCAGTGTCTTGATTCTTATTTGCAGACAGAAATAGGTCACTTGCTGCCCCCTTCACTGTAATGTCTGAAGAAAGTTATCTGACTTCTGCTTATCTGTTCTTACTGCTTTCAGTTCAAGTTTCACTGCTGGCCTCCAAAGGGTGACAACAAGAAATTCTTCTTCAAGTGCAGCCTTGCTGCTGGGTCTGCTCACACCAAGCCACATTTCCAGTGTGTTGCCTTTCCCCTTGTGACGCTTTTAAAAGTCTTAAACTTTAAATATGCATTTCAAATCCAAACAGTGATAATCCCTCTTTTTAGAGACATCCTTTCAAATCGAAGTTTAACAACTTGGAGAAACTGATGAAGAGCTCTTGCTAATCCCTTCTGACTTGCATAGTTGTGAGAACGAAATGAAGTGTCACAGAAATGAGAACAGAACTGGAAGGAACTTGCACCATTTCTGATGCAAGAGCTGCAGTGTGCCAATCTGTGGTGACTTTGATAAAAAGCTCCTTCACTGCAACCTATTATAATTCTCTTAATGTACTGGAATTTGTTGTCCACATAACTCTGAAATGCAAGATCAAGCACAAAAAGTCAGTAATGCCAGCAACTAACACATCAGTTTGAGATATGGCACTTATACTGATGATAATAATAAGGTATCTGGAGTCTTATATGCATTGGGATAGCTAGAGAGTAACTTTTCAATGTATGAAGAGATCTTGATTACTGTGAGGTACATGCTTAGAAATATTGCTAAGAAACAACACAAAACACCTGAGGTGCATAAGAGATATTCATTCCCCCCTATGAGCAAAACCAGTTTATAAAACTGTTATAAGCAGTCCACTCATTCCGTAAAATGAGTGGACTACTAAAAAATTTTTCCTCTCCCAACTTTTGGCAGTTCGTGCTACCTGAAAAATGAAAATAAACCTGAAACACCACTCATACAAAAAGACTGAGGAACTAATTTCTGAAGTGAAAAGCATTTTATTGTTAAATGAAAAATCACAAAAACTCGGGAGAAAATTCCTTGTGTTGTAGGATTCACTGGTAAACAGAGTCAGTTTTAAATTATGGTTCAAATAGCAGTAGCAGTATAACTGTGATAGTACACAGCCCAACACTGTTCAGTTTTCCCTGCTTCTTTTCTGTAACTGTAATGTGAACATCCCCTGGACATTTTTATACATGAAAATATGCTTCAAGGTAACACCCAACTGAACTCTTCCCCTCCTATATAATCTTGTAGTACTTAAAATTCTAACAGGAGTTGCAGTTAGATTTATAAGAATTACTTTTAATCTCTCTTTTAGACAGTAATATATTAAAAATATATAGCATACTTTTAAAACTCAATATTAACTTACATCTAGCTTCTGCTTGGGTCAGACAGGATGATTTACACTCCCTCAGGATGTCCTTTCCTCATGTTTTCTAGCAGTCTATTTCATAACACCCAGTTACTACATAAAGATTTGAAATGGCCCTGAGAACCAGGACAGCACTGTCCACGTTTCTTGGCCTGTCAGGATCTGAGCAGGATTCCCATGCAGTCTGGGTATCCATGGTGTTTAATCCCTTGATCAGAGAAACTGTCCATGGAGAAGAAGTTAACTGTAATGTGTACAAATCTCAACTCTCAGTAACAAACAGAATTTGTATCTTAGATAGAACAACATATGGTTGTTATCTGGCCCTGGGAAGGACAGATTTGTACTGCAAATAAGCAAATTGATGAATAAGTAGCAGAATTAAAATAGCATCTCTGATCTTCACTGTAAAAGCATGCAGATGCTCAGAAGAGAGGAGGAAAAAAAACACAGCACAAAACCACCATAATGATATAATTTCTCTAAGGATCATTTCTCTCCATATATTATTGATTCATGCTTCGTTTTAGGAGTATGGCTGGAAATGTCTTAAGGACTAAAGCAGTTCTCTACCCAACCTTCTCATCCATTTTCCCCTAGGCTGGAGGATGTATGGATAAAAGTACAGGTTACAATTACTGATGCCATCTGTTAGATTTAAGGATTATTCTTGGAGCAAGAGACAGGTGAGAAGCCCTTCCGGCTTTTTAGGTAAGCCCTCTCATTCCTACTTTATCTTAGTCGTTCTGTATTATTTCATTTCCAGAATATGTACCAGGAAGATTTCAGGAATATGACTGAAGGGACCAGGAATAGCAGCGACTCCTCTTCGGCTTTCATTCACACCAGCACCATGAGTGCCATACTGGTCACTGTCTACTCAGTTGCCTTTGCCGGAGGTGGAATTGGGTCCATCACAATGTCCTTTGTGCTGCTCAAGATGAGCACTCTGTCTGTGACCACGACTGCCATCATTAACCTGGTCATTGTGCACAGCCTCCTCCTCTTCACAGTCCCCTTCCGCCTCCACTATTATGTCAAAAAGAAGTGGGTATTTGATATGCCATTTTGCAAAATGGTGAGTGCCATGGTGCACATCCACATGTACCTTACCTTTGTATTTTATGTGATCACGCTAGTGATCCGGTGGCTCATCTTCTTTCAGTGGAAGGACAAGGTGGAGTTTTACAGGAAGCTGCATGCCATTGCAGCAAGCGCTGCCGTGTGGGTCTTCGTCATGGTCTTTGGGGTGCCGCTCTTCTACTTTGAGTATGGACGCTCAGGCTTATACAATAATACAACATGCTTCAAGTTCCACAAAGAACTACAGCACAAGAGTGTGAAAGCCCTGAATTACACCTTAATTGTAGGTGTTGCCCTCATTTCTTGTGTCCTCTTGGGCTTGCAGATTCTTATCCTGGTAAAAGTGGCGAGAAGATTTTCCACCTCCCTCTGTTCACACCAAGAATTCTGGGCCCAGGTAAAAAATTTGATTTTCATCTGGATCATCATAATTTGGTTCCTTCCCTATCACCTTTTCAGGGCCTACTACATACAGCATGTGAGTGATTTTGACCAGTTAGAAAGCTACAATGAGGTTTTTTTGAGCCTGACTGCTCTGAGCTGTCTGGACCTGCTGTCATTCATGCTGAGTGGAAGCCGCTTCTTCAAGCAAAATGTGGGGATGCTCCACAGGAGGTTGCCTTGCTGCTAGCATCAGCCTCCTGCAGAGTGGGAAGGACCTAGGATAGGACAGTGATGGACAGGCATGGCCAACTCCCTCCTCAGCAAGTGAGGGTGTGCTCTGGAAACACACATAAGGCTTTGCATGTCAGCTTCCTGAATTAATGGAACAAACTGCCTCCAGGCTCTCAGCTGGTAAACAGGAAGGTGACCTCAGCAATTTCCTCATGGTGCTATCCAGTGAGTTGTGGATGGACGCGGAGAAGAGGGAAAGAAGGTCATGGGCACTTCTGAATTGCTGTTTTTACATCGAGATTTGTGAAGTCAAAGGCACTAGGAGGAGACTTGAGAATTGCAATGTAAGAATACAAATAAATAAACTGGTTTTTATGGACTAAGGTACAGATTTTTGAAACTTAAAGATCTATATAATTTTCCCATATATTTCTTATTTATTTCCCACAAGCTCTCATAAAATAGCAGAGAAGATATTGTTCTTCCTGAGTAGGGCTGTTTCTCTACTGTTAAGAGAAGCATAACTTTCTAAGTGAATTGAACAATTAAACCAGCTATTTAAAACTAAATCAGTGATAGATAGTTTTTCTTAAAATATTTTCTCAAAGTCACCTTTTGAGATGGTATCATTGCAGAAGAAAATAATTTTGTCATCTTTCTGACTTTATGAAAATATGTCTGTTACTGAAATGGACATTACAAGTTCAAACAAAAAAGTTCAAAAAAGCCTGTATTATTATTCAAAATTGTTCAATTAAAAAATAATACTTTACAGGACAGTTTTTTTTAGATCATTGAGACAGCTTTTTTCTTCTCTTCAAAAGACAAATATTTTAGGTATCCAAGGTAGCAATGCTTTTTTTAAAAATCTTATGTTGATTTTGTGCATTTATGAAGTCTATAAGTAGTTACTCACAATATATTTAGCTGGAAAGCAATTCTATATATTTTGTACCCTGTATTCATAGAAGGAATGAAAATGTTACTACTTGGATTGGAGGGGTGGAAAAAGCTAATAGACCTAGTGTATTTAAAAAGCATATTATATCTCAGTGAGGCATTGTCATTTGCTGTCTCTGAAGACAGAAATAAATTCCACTAAAAAAGATGAAAAATTTGGTAAAATATTTCTGTGAAAGACATTGAGGCTTTCATAGCTCAGCTGCTTTACACTTATCCCCAAAAAGAATATAAATATTCAACTCCTCTAATCCAATACATCAATGGCTAATATATCTTTCCTTTTCTTGTCATCTGTGCCACTGGTGCGTTATCAACACCTGGGGTAACAGCAATTGCAACTTGGTAATTAACAATTGGTCGGATAGCTAATACATACTGATGGCGTGTAAATAAAGGTAAGAGAGGAAAAATACGAATAATTTCTTAAAAACTTAGTGAAAATAGAAGGTGGGGTGAAGAGAGTAAAGATGTTAAACATTGCTAATATTTGCTTGCTAATTACTATAGTTGCTTATTTGAAATGAGAAATGTTTTGCATATAGTTTCTCATATAGAATGCCGTTCTCTATATCAAATAAACTAAATAGGGATGCCTGATTTACTTGGAAATGGTCACAATGATCTTGGCAGATTAGACATCTAGCCATGCTGCATGTGCCATGCTGGAGTGAATACTCTCATTCAGGTATACTTTCCCAGAATCATGAACTCTTCTCTACCAGCTCCCCTCACTGGCTGTGAAGGGAGATGCTCAGCCCTAAAGGGCCCAGGTACTGCTGGGCTTTACCAGAAATTCAGATGCAAAGAGAATTTACATAGACTTTACCTTTGATTTTTCAGTGTAATACACTAGCATTGCCTGGTTTTCTCCCAGGAGCTGCATCCATGTTTGGTTATGATCTCTAAATGGGCAGATTCCTAGAGCTAATACTAAATGCATTTTGTTTGAACAGCACTTTTGTCTTTATGTTGGGTTCCATACCTACTCTATGATGCATGCTTGAGTCAATTGTCCCAAATATGCAAGAATTTATTCAAAACTTGCTCCCTCTTTTAAGTTCTGCTCTGAAATGGGCTTTCAGACAGGTTTCAAAGAGGGGTTCCTCTTGGCCAGAGTGGCACCTCCTGTCCTGCCTTCTGGCCACCTGCTGTTGGCTCTCACTGGAAGCAGTGAAGCTTTCAGCATGACAGACTAGACCTGGTCTATTTAGTGGATTCTACATTTAAATGAAAAGTGAGAATCAGTTACAAAATGAATTTTCAGCAGTTTGCTGAACATTAGCTCTGTTCTCAGCCGTCCTTTTGTAATTCTCCAGCTTTAAGAGAAGAAAATGAACTCCTAATTCCTCTAACTTCAGTGTGAACTTAAAGGAAATGTGCAACTTCCTAAAATATATTTTATCTCATTTTCCTTTTTTTTTTCTGTTCTATTTAGTGAAAGAATAAATTCTGTATTTTTATTTTAACATACCTATTTTGTACACATTATTTATCCCACTCGAGCCTACCTCTGCTGGGATGCATCAAAGCCTTCTCCTTGCAGCCCAGCATTGTCAGAAATTGTGTCAGCTGCACCATGAAATTACGGTCTGCAGGAATTGCTCCACTCTCCAGTACTTCCTGTGCTTCAGAAAGGACAGAAATGTGTTGAAACTTTGTTTACCCTTGGGACTGAGCTGAGCACCTGGGCAATCTCTGCAGCTCCAGAGCCCACGTGATGACACTTAGTCAGTGATGACTGAACCTTTGTCAGAGATGACACTGAGCCACCCAGCCTTCTACTGATTGTCAGTGTACCTGCCTTGGCACACCTAATGCTTGGTTTTTCCTCAAAGAGATTGTCTCCTGCCACCTTGCCCTTGCTCTCTGAGTTTAACTGCAGAGCTGGAAGACAAAGCAGCTTTTCCTAAGTACCTGGTTTTAAGGGAGGACCTTGAACCATGAATCAGTGCATTGTTATCACCAACAGCTTAAGTGTGTTTTCTCACATCACACTTGACCTTGCTTCACCTTCCAGGCCCTGAGCTAAGCTTTCTGCTAAGTTAAACAGCACTGCCGTATCTGGAATTGTCTCCACATTTAAATGCTCCTTCCTGTGGTGAAGTGCTGCTTGCTGTGGTTGTATCATCGCTCTCACATATCTTCAGCCAAGAGTCAATCTGTGCCTTGGTTTCTCATCCTTTCTTCATGCATTTGCCCCATCTTCCCTTGACTGCCAAGCCAGCACACCATTTGATGCAGTAGTGTGGACAATCTACAGGGACAGCGGTGTGGATAAACTACTGGGAGCAGCAGCATGGATAAACCAAGGACAGCTGTGCCTTCCTTTGCTCTGTGCTGTTCCTGACTGCTCTTTAGCAAGTCTTGCCTGCAAGCATCCAACACAACACTAGCTTGCTCCAGTATTGCATTGTATATAAGCGTGCTATGCTGTGAAAACCTCACTCTGGTTGATTGTGAAAACACCTTCAAGTTATTTCAGGCACTTTGAAGTGAAAACAATATTCACAGACCATGACCAAGAGCACCAGGTAAAGCCCAAGGAAAGATAGACCAAATACAGTGGTGATGCAGCCAAGGCACCTGAGATGATTCCCATCCTGAAGTGAAGTGTGACAAACCTGGTGACAAACCAAGGTGACAAACCTGCCATGCCCTGCCAAGTGGGGCTGTCATGGGCCAGTGCCTTCTGCACCGTGCACTCAGCTGCACTGCCAACACAGGCACCAACACAGTCTGCAAGTGGCACACATGAGAGGCAATAATGCTATCTTATCTAGAGGTGATAACATCACCAGCATTGAGGAAACTTCTGTCTGACCATCCAAGAGCCACTCTGGCAGGCACACTTACACCACCAAAACCCCTTTGCAGCTACACCCCCACACTTCACAATCACACCTGGCTCTCTGACCGGCTCAACAAATCTGTTATTTACACAAACTTAATTTCTTTTTATTTTTAACAGGAAAATAATTAACCTGTCTTCATCATTCTTCTGTTGAGTAAAAGGTAACTTCACTGAAATACTAAATTTTTGGGAATAAGTTCATTTTGTCTAGATGGTAACTCCTCCTGAGTACATGATAAATAATGTACCTACTTGGAGCATTCTTGTAGATTGATTCTTTTCCTTTTGTGATCACATTAGAAGAAAACGTAATTTATTTATAAACATTAATTCAGTAACTAAGTATATGTGTGATTTCACACATATACTCCTAGTGTTGGGTTGCTTGTTTGCCAGTATGTTTAAGATTTAGAATTCATTTGAACTCTAGTCTGGTTCATTGAACTGCAAACACCATGTTTCACATAAATTTGTCTTTTCCCCACTGACTGCAAGCTGGTGGAAGCAATAGGACTATTAATAGGCTTGTTCATGTACATGTAGGTGAGGTGCAGTCACTTTAGTTCATATTGCTGGAATGTTGTAACAGAGAGAAAAAGCCGATACAGTATATGGGAAAGGCTTGATATGTCTTTTTTTCAGTGACAACTGACATCAAGGTTGGATTTAGCTTTGGTTTTTAGGTAATACAGCCATTTAACAGTCTTTAATAGTGCTACTAAGTTTGTTTGGTGGTTTTAATTTAGATTTTCTCCTGTGTGGGATGTGCAATCAGCTCATTATTTCAGGTAAGAGATTTCTTAGTCCCTAAAAGTGAGGATTCTGGAGTGAGCTATTACTGTGTCAGAGAGTTAAAGATATGGTAAAGTTATGGTAAAAAAAAAGAATTATGGTAAAAAAATTTCTCAAAGGAATTTCCTTAGAGGAACAAGATTAACTTCAGCATCTCTATTCACTCAAGAGAAATCTGGGAATATTTACAAGTGGAGCCTTTATTTCTGGCCAAAGGGAACATGGAATATGGGATGAGCAAAGTCCAACTGATAAAATTATTTAGACTCTCAAGAGACTTTGAGTGATCTGGAAAGTCCATGAGTACCGTGGTGATGACATCTAATGATAAAACAAAGCTCCTCAGAGTATTAAAGACAAGGACTGACTGTGCAGAGTTACAAAGAGCCTTATAGTTAAAAAGTGGGAGAAAGAATACAATGCTCACACATGCAGCAATTTAACAGTCAGGGAAAAAAATATTTGAAATTACATTAATTGCTCTGTGGAAGTGTCAGATCGGTGCTATGCAATGATTCAAAAAGCAAAGTACTTCTCAGAAATCATTAGGAAATAAACTGAGAGAAAAAACCCACCATGATACTGAAGTATAAATCTATGGTATATCCACATCAACAACTGTTTGTGGTTCTGGTCTCTGTCTCCAAAAAAAAAAGTGTCAGTGTTTGGGAAGTATCAGAAAATGGCAAAAGGGTTGAGCTGAATATATGGACCATTGCCAGAGACTGGTGACTGCATTTGATGGACTTTGGTCACTTTTGAACATTTTTATGTTCAAAAATTCCTTTGAATTTAACCTTTGGTCACTAAATGGCCATGAGGAAAGGATTTTCCCTTCCTAGAGAAAAAAAAATCAAGAAAGTAATAGTCTAGTGTGAAATATGAGATTTTTCTATGTCTCAATAGAAAAGTACACCTCAAAAGAAAA